CAATGATTACTCAAAATTTATCTAAATTAATACTGTTGGTGAACAGAGAATATTTTCTATGATTGTCTTTGTCACAGAACAACCAGTGATTTAGTTCTCTTTTGGTTCAATAATTTTGAAAGGAGGGAATCATATAAGCTTGTTATTTTGTCAACTGGCCAAAATAAACTTGTTCATTTGCAGAAGGAAACATGGCTGCATCTGTGGCACTTTGTTAATGTCATTTCTCATGTGTTAATAAAGTTAAATGACTGCACACAAGGAAATGTGAGTAATTGTGCCCATGTATTCCATATGTGGTGTTAAATCTCTTTGTAAGTAATTTCCCCTCACCTTTTTTTTATAAATCAGTATATGTGGTCATAACATTTCTGGTATAAGCACATTTTTTAAGTTCACTTAATTTAACTTATCAATCAAATCATTAAGAAATAAAAAATGCTATTAATCAAACTCTATTCATGAATTCCAATGATGTCACATCTCTGAAAAATTAGATCATTTTTCTGTGACACTTTTATCTTTATACACATCTTTGCATGGCTATTATAATTTCTTAAAGTAAAAATATTGCAAAAATCAGTTCATTACTATTTTTTAAACAGCAATTTGTAAAATAAAGATTTTTGCATTTATTTCTTATTGGAAAAATTATTGCAGAAATATGTGATGATTTTTTTTCAATAAGTGATTATTGAAGATTTCAACAAAGTAGAACAATTATATTTTCTTTTTAGGTTTTGGGTTCTCTCTCTCTCCCCCCTATCTATATACATTTATATCCATTTATTGATTATCCTTGATGATGTTGATTATTAATTTTAGAATGTATTTTTCTAATTGATTCTGAATTGGTTTTAGTTTAGTTCCTCCTTCTCAGCGGAGTTTTTATTGATATCATATAATTCAATTTTGATTCCCTGTTTTATTGCTCTTAACTTTTTGTTATTTAAGATTATGGATTAAATGTTTTAAAGATTTCTACTCAATGTGAGGAAAAAAATAAAAACAAGAATTAAGCTTCTTTTCTCCTACTTTTATCTCCTTTTTGATTCTGAAATGGTGGTCTTCTCTGTATTGTTGCTAGTTAAGTGATATAAAGGAATGTGGGTAGAAAGATGGTAGATCAACAATCCAAATTACATTTTTGCTGAGTGATCATAGCTTCGATTGATTTAGGATTTCCTATAGAACAGAATTTTTATTGTGGCACAAACTGATAAATTATCAATTATGGTTTCCACTTGCAGTTAAATTATTGGGTAAAATCTGTCAAACAATTAAATATCTGTCACTCCACCATTTATTCTATAATTTCATTCAATTGGAAATTTATAGATTTTTCTATAGAATGATTAAAATGTTATGGTTTTGAGGGATTTAATATTTTTTTCTCCTCCATGTACATACTCGAAATAAGTTACATTGATTTATCTGATAGTGGAAGATGTACCTGTCATTGTCACCTATTTTCCTGCCTTGCATTTTTTCTGCCATTATTTTCCATAGTTTTATCTTAAAACAAGTAGTTCATTAGATTTAGGAAATAATAGAACAAATTTAATTAATAACTTTTTTATATATATATATATATATATATATATTGAAGCAAAAATTTAATCATAGGTCTTTTTTTTTTAATTTTTATGTATTTTTTTTTTTTTTAAGTTTTATAACAAATGACAAATATTCTTTAACTTATCTTAGAAATTAATTTCTTTAATGTTTATTTAACTAAAATCAACTGCATTTTTATATTTCATCTTTCTTTTCTGATATTTTTATTTCTCCTCTTCAATCATTTACCTTCTTTTAATAAAACAATAAAATGATTGAGCCTATTTTTACATGTTGATTATCTATGGAATTTGAATGACCCAATCACTAACCCAAGTAATTATGTTATAGAATGAATTACAAGTTCTGCACTTCTGTATCACATGATAAACACCTACCACAACCTAAGCTGTTTCAAAGAGCTCCTTGTCTCCAGTTAGGTTTGACTCTCAAAATTACATCCAAATTATGCCCTACTGTGCCTAGAAAGGTTAATTTTACTTCTTGGATATAAATGAAGTTTGAAGAACTTTATTAATTTTACTTCTATTTTATGCATCTTTTTATCAGTGTTTAATCTCCATCCTTTCATCTGCAATAATTAAGTATGAAGTCATGATAAAGAAGTAGTGTCCAATATGACTGATAAAACTTATATCCCATAACATCAAGATCTCATCTTACATGGACAACACAACTATTTCAAGTTTCTATGGGTTTACAAGCTTCTCTTCTCCTAATCATTTTACTTTTTTCCCCCCTCTAAAAAAATCATTAGTAAAAAAAAAAAAAAATTGTCAGATTCTCAAAGAACAATTTAAGAGTATTCCTACTACTACTACTTTCAAAGAACTGTTGTATTTTATTAAACTTTGAGAGAACTTTATTCTCACCTAGAAAATTGTTTCTTTTTTGTTTTGAATTTAAGTCACATGTAATTAGATTTTTTTAAAAAGTAACAGATAAAAAAAGTCCCTCTCTCTTACTATTTTATTTAATTTTATCTACGCAACACTAGCTGGAACAGACCAGTATGACTTATGATTTTAGCTCACCTAACTTTAACAGTATTTGTCAAAGAGTGTTGAAAATACATTGTACATATCACTTTAAAATTACTGTCTTCCAGATTACTCTTCTATTGTTTTCGCTCCTTCATGTTTTCTAATTCTTTCACACTCAATAACCCATTGTGTCTTAGTGGCTTTACTGCTTTGTTTGAGGTAAATTTGAAAAGAAAAAAAAAAATTAAACAAATTTATTTTTAATCATTACCAATACACTTGGATTTTTTTCAGGGCCTTTCATGTTAATATTTTATAAACTGGTGAAAATTAATGCACACTTTATCCAAAAAAACAAAAGCCTAAATAATTTGTCAAAAATATTCTTAATGGTAAATATTTTTCAATGAGCTCTTTTTAAGAATCTATCTTAACCTCTAGAAGAAAAGGCTGATAGCCAAAATGTTTTGAGTTGCATCTACAATAGATGAAAAGAAATATTAGATCACTTGCAAAATAGTTATTCAATATACTTCCAACACTTAGATTTACTTTAAATTTGCACAGCTGATATATTTTGATATAAAGTTAAAAATCACAAAGAAAAAATATGTATTGTCAAACATCTAGTGTAGAATAAAATATAAACAAAAGTAACAGTGGATAAAAATATTTCATATTTTATGTTACATAGCCATGTTTTTCAATTACTGCTTAAAGGGATTATTTGTATCCCTTTGCAACATTTATTTATTTACTTTTTATAGGTTCACACTTTCTTGCAAATGACTAGAATTATACAACACTTTTTAAGACCCAACAGTTGCACTAAATAGAACAAATTAGCTTCCAAAATACTCCAATATATTACTCTGTTCATGGTTCCTTCAATTACATGATGTGCATGCTATACAATTGAAAATGAAATGCTCCAATCATATTTCCAAAGAAAATATCCAAGAATTATGATTTTTTTTTTTTTTTAAATATTCATGAATGAACTTCAGTATCCTGAGAATCCTGGTGCCTTAACCTCCCTCACCAACATTGGTGTTTTCCATGGGGCACAACATGTTAAATCATTCTTGTGCAGGTCATTGCTAATAGTTTTTAGTTCTTTTAGTAAATAATGTTCCAGTTGCTCTTAATCATTTTGTATCTCCTTTTAAGTTACCATTGGATTAGTACTGACTTTTCATAGCATTTTTTTTAGTTGTTCATGGAGAAATATTCCACAAAGCACCAGTTGAAGGAAGGTTTTATGCTGGTGCCAGACTTCTTTCACTTCCAGAAAATTGGTTGAATGGAACTGACAGGGATATTCTTAACATATTGGCAATGGGCCTTGTAGTTTAAACCTTCTTTATACGCATTAACTGCATCTTTTTTTTTTTCATTAAATGTTTCATTACTTTAACCATGACAGCCTTGTTGAAAAAAGGTAAAGTACTAAATGAAAAGATTCTAATAAAGTATTGCTGGAAGTTGTTAAAGGTTTCTGTGAAGGTGCATAAATATCTAGAAGAACTGCTTTCCTTTGTTCTTTTTTTTTAAATAGTATCTGAATACTTTTTCCCCACTGTACCTTTGTTTATATCTAGATTGTATGTTTGAAATGTATACTATTGTCCTCATATTCATTGTTGTTATCACAACATTTGGGGCATTGTGTCCTCTGACCTTTTTCATGTGCATGTTAATCTAGGTAACCAACATATATCACCTGCGTAAATTTAATTAAATGTAGACATTGGAACTATATTTTGAAACTGTCCAAATATTTATCACTGCCAACCACCAACAGTGTAAGTACTGAGATTAGATATATTAATATAGATTAATCTAATAGATAGAAAATTATTTCATATTTTTAAAAAAAGCAATTTTAAATAAATTCACTTTCCTTCTTTGATTCAGCTTATAAAATTTATGACTTAACAACTTTCAAGTTCAGTAGATTATTGATTTCTATGATTGAGAGACACATATTTTCTGCAGTAATTTTTTTCATTATAGGACAGAGTAGATTGGCTGGTTTGATTTCAATATTGACTTATTTTCCTAATTATTTTGCAAAACATTGTTCACAAGTCCATGATTTTACATAAATTGCTATTATATTTATTGAATATTATTTTTTTAAATGTGCAATTCAAAAGTTTAGACTTTGATAAAATTTGTGTGTGTGGTTTAAGTATTATTGTTAAAATCATATAAACAGTTGTTTATCATGATTTGCTCATAATTTTTTTCTCAAGTATAGATCTACGTTGATTCATTCAACTTGGATCTTTTTTAGCACCTTTAATTTTATTGTCAAATGCAGTTAAAATACAAAATAACCTAAAATAAAATATTAAAACCATTTCTTTCTCAGTATATATGATCATTTTTTTAGCTTAAAGATTTTTCAATAAAAATCTTACTTTTATTTTTCAGTCCTCCCTTTCCGATCCTTGGCTTGGCTACTATCAACAACCATCTTTTGGGCAATAACCTCATTGTTCTTACTACGGATATGGATTTCTTAACAATTCCACTGAGGTAAGTAATTATTTTACTATCCTTTTTTGTTATTCATTATTAAGTATTTTTTATGATGTTTCTGTTTTTAACTTTTCCATTTATTAAGTATTCCATTTTATTCTGTTATCATGTCATAAACAAGATTACTATATTCTATCAAAACACGCATTGAAAACCCAACCTCAAAATTAAAAAAGAAAAAAGTAGACTCCAGGCATACCATCTACATTCCAACTTTCCTTTCGGTGAACTCCATCTTCTTGAGGTCAAACTAAACCTCCTATATCTGTCTGAAATAGGTATCAATAATACAATCCTACTGCAAGAGCTTGCAACCCCAGGCTACTCAAACATAATAGCCAAATACGACCATCTAAATTGTAACAGCCACATAGCCTACATTAAGGACAGATTTCCATGTGACAGTGACACAAAAAATGAGAATCCTGATCTCTCATATATGTAATTCCACATGGCAATTATCCATAGTACCACATTGATTTTCACATTCTATCATCCTCAGAACGATGGGACACTAATTTTCGATTGAATATCTGAGAGGATTGATAATATCCTCAACAAATTTCCCTCAGCTAGCTTTTCTCTGGTGACTTCAATATTGACCAGAAAGTGTGGTTAGTCCACTCAAACAATCCTGTCCAGAAAAATGCTTAGCAAAAGTTTTACCCTCCCCACCAGGGAATGTCGGACCATTCCCTAGTCAGTATCTAAATTGATGCCAAAATAAAGGCATCTCCTGATTTGTCATTCCATAGATACATAAATACTGACTGGGACAGCTTTAGATCTTGTATGGTGGAAGCCCTTTTTTCAACTTTCAAGCAGGTGGCCTCCAAAACTGCTTCCCTCATCTCAGAATGGATCCTTTCTGGAATGAAGAGTTTTATACCCAAAAAAAATTCCAGCAAAAAACAAACAGCCATCCCTGGTTCACCCCTGAATGCACTGCAGTCATAGCTCACTACTTCAATATCTATCACAAGGAGCAGTGTAGTTTGACTTTTACTGCATTCAGAACCACCAGCACTCGCTGCAAGAAAGTTTTGGAAAATGCATAAGCAGTCCAGGTCAAGGTTGAAAACAAACAAATTGGATCACCAGCTAAATTATGAATAGAGACAAAGCAGCTGTGCCTACTATTATAAATGGACCCAAAGTAATGTCTTTTTTGACAGATAAGGCAAAGCTCTTCTATTCAATCTTTGCCTCCAACTCAACATTAGAAGATATTGGACATCTCTTCACTGAGCCCAATCTCAGTAGTATTTGTATCACAGCCTGGAAAGTCTCAAGACTTATCAAAAGAACTGGCCCAAACAAAAACCTAGTGGTTATTCTTAAGAATATCAACTTGGAACTATCCCCAATCTTAAAAAAGTTATTTAACTACTGCTTGAAGGAAAAATCCTTCCCAAGTCTGTGGAAAGTATCAAATTTTCAAGAACACAGGTGAGTGCTCATCCGCCTCTCAGTATAGACCCATCAGTCTCCTCAGTGTTATTAGCAAGCTTTTTGAAGCTATAATCAAAAAGCAGGTTGTTGAGTATCTAAATAAAAATAGCCTCTTGAGTGACAAGCAGTACAGATTTTCATCGACCCAATCTGCTGATTATGTCCTAACTACCATTACTCACAAAATCAGTGAGGCACTACAACAAATACACCTCAAGGACCATAGCATTAGATATTTCAAAGGCTTTTGGCAAGGTATGGCACAAAGCACTGCTAAAGCTCTCTAACTATGGAATCACTGGAAGTATGTTCTCAATAATAAAATTCTTCCTAACAGGTAGGTCCCTAAAAATAGTTGTTAACTGCCAATCCTCCAAGGCCTTAGCAATCAACAGGGGTCACTAATCAGACCAACCCACTTTTTACTTCACATAAATGATCTTTCTAAGAGTATACTTTGATCATTTGCGAATGTCTATGCTGATGATGCTACAGTATAGAAGTGAACCTCAAAAATCTTTGATGACCAGAGATTAGCAGCTGATCTCTCCTCTGATCTAGCTCTGACACATTAATGGGAGCAAAACTGGCTGGTTACATTCAATGCTTCGAAAATCAAACTAGTTATTTCCATCATCACCAATTGAACCCTGAACAACCACCAGTCACAATGCATGGATATTCCCTCAGAGGCACCATGTCTTGAGTGACTATTGTGCCTCAAACTCACTCCAGACTCCAAGTAGAACTTGTACATATGATCCATCACTAAAGATGCAGGAAAAATAGTCTGTTCTCTGTCCCACTCCAGTAAGTACCCGACTCTTTGTGTTATCCTCTAATTTTACAAGAGTCAGATCAGACCTAAAATAAATACTGCTGTCATATCTGATTAGGAGTTACCAGGTCCTCACTTTCTAGTCTCGATAAAGTCCAAAAGCGTCTCCACGTCCTTATGGGTGATAAATTATTTTCCATCCTGCAACATCTCTCTCACAGATGAGACGTAGCAAGTCTTTCACTGCTCTATCGCTACTTCCATGGAAAGTACTCAGATGAACTACATTCCTTAATTCCACCAATTCTAACCTTTACTGCTAGGACCTGCTATGCTGCATGCATTATAGAGAACAATCCTTATTCTCCCTGTATTTCATCAGGTCTGAAATAAGTTCCACTCAAGCAGCATCTTCCCATGAACCACTGCTCTGTGGAACTGACTTGCAAGCGGATGTTTTCCTGTTCAAGGAGTTAATCGTTATCTTCCCCACCTATCCACGTAAACTGTGCCCCTTACCCTGTAACGCTCTTTCGAGTGACTCCCGAGCCTATTACTGGGTGAACATCACTGTGAAAAAAATGTTACTTTTAAAATTGGCACATTTTACTGTTTTTTTTTTGTTTTTTTTTTTTTTTAAATCACTTTAGTTATGAATTACTCTTGATGGATAAACTTAGCATTTTCTTCACATTATTTTTGTACTCAAAGACAAAACCTTTTGATTTCTTTTTTTTTTCCTCCCCACTATAATAATTCTATGTAGGCTTAGGAGAAATTTTTCCTTGTAGTAGAACATTTTTATTTATTTGTTTAAGCAAAATGTACAGTAATTTATTCTCTTTAAGATGTAATTAAAATAAAACCTGTTAATCTCAAGCAACATACCAAAAACTTTTGTAATTCTGTGAATAAATCCTAATTTTAGCCTTAATTCACTATAGAACTTTCACAGCCCCCTATTGCTTTTCAGTTGTTATTCAGAAGCCAAAGAACTATCTCATATTGACATTAGTGAACAGTCTCCATTAATCGGGTATATCTTACTTGGTCCTGACTAATGTTATGCTAAAATCATAAATAGACTCCACCCTTATCTTTTATGTGTTTATTGTGACTTTTTATTTGATTTTCCTGGTAGTTTTCTTATCCTTTTTCTTTGGTGCTGTTGTAGAACTTTTACTTTCTTTCATCTAGATGACATTTAACAACTGTTGCATTCAACCATTAGCTTTCGTTCTTCATTGCATTTCCCCTCCAGGGTGACTTTCTTTTTTTTTCTTTTTTTTTTTTTTTGGCTTGGCTTGGTGTGTATCATCATTGACCATGTATGCACACTGATGGAGCTTCAATAACAGATAACTAATTTATTTGTCTCTAATAACTAACAACTTTGAACAAATGTTAAATACTGACAGATGCTTTTGGTCCTTTTCATTAACTCTTTCTTCATTTCTGAGATTATAATTTCTGTAATGTTACTGGACTTTTATTTATATAAAAAGAAATTAAATCTATTATTAAAATAAAAAGGAAATTTGACTGATCCTAATATTCCATTTATAAAGCTTTAAAGTGCTCTCGAAAAGTTGATTATCATCCTAATCAAATAATATGTGTTTGTTTTTGCTATAAAAGTTTTTAGAAAATCCTTTTGTGTCTGTAAATTGTTCAGTCATTTTTTATTGACTGTCACATCCAACAAGGATGAAATTCTAAGCTTCCATTTGGTAAAATAAAACAAAAAATTAATTTCAAGTTGAACAAATTATCATTAAAAATAGTTAGTCTTTTCAGCCCACCCATTTTGAGTAATTGTTATAATGTTCTCTGGATTTACGCATTTAATCTAACTACTACTTACTATCTACTTCAATCTGCAAAATACTGGTTATCTTGATTTCAAGTGTACGATTTTTCCAGCATATCAATACTTTTATTTTCATGGAATGAATAGTTCTCAACATTAGTTTAATCCTTTTTTTAGCCAACAATAATGACTGTACTTTTTAGTGATTCATCTCATCCAGGTTCTTAGTTACTTTCACAGTTGAGTTCATCTTACTCTCATTAACTGTATAAAAATATTTTTTTAAGTTAAAAAAAATACGGCAACATTATTTATCTGTTGACAGCTTTTTCTTTTATTTCATTATTGTTGTTTGCTTTTGGAGGTATTTGTTTCAAGTCTAATCAAAGCTGGATATTTTCTGGTCAGAATGAGATGAGATGTGTAATTTGTGGTATCAGCTCTTTATGGTCTACTGATTTAGCTGTTCACTTGAGAGGCAGAGAGACATGATCAAAGGATATTATAAACCTCTTCAGAGAGAAAGCCAAGTGTGAAGCAAGTGAACGGTTTTCTGGCAATAAATAAGATAGATTGTTATTGGCTAATATTTTCAATGAGAATTTGTTACATAACTCACTGCAGTTGCCTGACTGCAAATAGAAAATCATCAGCAGAGAGAATTGTTGAAAGTTATCTGTTGCAACTGCAAAAGGAACCCTTTCAAAAATCAGTGCTTATGATAGTGTGTGCAAAGAATCTCATCTACCATCTCATGAGAATTTTGATTCACACGTGTGTGTGTGTGTGTGTGTATATATATATATATATATATATATATATATATATATATAATGGTACAGCAATTGGAATGAATGAGCATTAGTCATATTTTCCCCTGTGTTTGCTTCATACCCAAAGCCAAGCATAAATATTCAATAAAAGAAACTCTGATTATTCCTTTAGGCAACAAAACTG